GATCCCAAAGGGCTCTTGCGCTCACATGAAACTGAATTTTCGCAGCTTATGAATGATAGCTAAGTTATGTTCACAGTTATATCTGCCTAGACCCAAAGAAAGTCTCTTGTAGTAGGTGGAATTACTGACTTAAACACCTTGAATCTGACAGGGAATTCAGATCACTTTCTGAAAACTGACTTTGTAATTTTGGTATCACAGCATTGCCGAGGGACTAAAGGTTCTAAATTTCAAATCTTATAGAACATGAAGTCCCAGCCTCCTGTGTTTATTAAAGACCAGTTAATCTTTTGTAAAGGTTTTGAATCAGTACTCTTAATATCATGGGAAGTGATTACCCCCTCTATACTCACTCTAAACCATGCTGTCTCTCAAAAAGAAGTGCTACTGAAGTGCAAAGTCTAATAATTGTCACAGGTAGCAGACATAATATTAAGTACATCTTGACAAAGGATTAATAGCAGGGGTGCTGCACTGCAGGACTGAGGCAGGTAACCAAATGAGTAAATGTCAAATGAAGGATTATCCTCATTTGATGCTACTTCACACATCTCCTTTCTGCATAATCTCTCCCAGCTGAGACCTAAACCAGGTGTTTTCAAATGCACAAAGTAGAAGCTCTACCTGGTGTGCCAAAGGAGATCCACTATTAGCTGTCGGCAGGAGTGTCATCTCCTTTTCAAGTACTCAGCCAGTAGCCAGGGCACAGCACTGCACTGCCAGTGACAATGGCAAAGCACCCGCCAGGCCCAGGTCTCTCTGGATTGTGCTGAACTACTACTAGTATTTATTATTCAATCTACCCATGTCAAAGACCAGAGCCCTCCTGTGCTTGGCTTTGTACAAACAGAGACCAAAATGTGGCTCTTTTCACCTGATTTCATCCTCAGCATCCCACAGTGCTCATATAGAGAATCCAATGCTGAAAAGCTGTGTGAAGCACAGGATGTAATCTTTCAGTCTCTTTTTTTAGCCAATGCAAAGACCAGGGAGGTCCTGGAGACACTTTCTAAACACAAGTAGTACAAAAATGGGTGTGAAAGAGCATTGAGCCCACAAAATTAAACATACCAGAAGTAAACCTGCCCAAATCTTCATGTGCTGACTCATCAGCTTTTAGTTATGTGACAGCACACCCCTTTTCCCTCCTGCATGATTCTTAACTCATTCAGTCCACAAGACACACAGTAGCCTTCAGCAAGAGGCCCTCTGGTACTTTTCTTCTCTGTGCCCAGAGTAATGCCCACAGACCTTCCTTCCCTTGTATTTAAACCATCAGTGAATAAATAATTACTGACACCCTCCTGAGCTTCTCCACTGTGCTCATCACTGTATAATCTAATTGCTTCACAAAACATTAATGCTTTCAACCTCCCTCTGAGGTGAAGGGGAACGATTCATTTTGAACAGGAACATGAATCAAAGAAAGATGAAGGCAGAAAGTGTCACTCATTGGGGTTGCCCAATTTCAGTCAAGAAGATCTGGGCTAGTTAACATGACACAGTATACAAAATGTTCAAAACAGCTGTCAGCATCTTCAAATCATGGCTGTGAGCAATTTGACTCCTCTGCAAAATTAAGAGTGGTAGGCTGGGACTCCAGAAGACAAACTGAGCCTGGTGGTCACTCCTGACTAGTTTAGTTTGCCCAGCATCAGTCAGGAATTGTGCTGTAAGAGCACAGTCTGCCCTCCAGGCAGCAACCAGGTATGAGGCTCCCTCCTCTTTTTGGCTGTCTGGGTCAGGTGAGGCAGTGTCCTGTGGCTCTCACTGATCCACAGAGGATGCTCAGCTGTTCAGGCTGTGCACTGAAGAAGACAGGGGTCCTACAAACACTGTGCAACCCTGAAGTTAAAGATGGTATCAGAGCACAATCACAAGGGGGCAGTACCTTCATTCTCTGAATGAGCGGCTTCTGCCTGCTTTATTTTCAGACTTTCCTCTCTCCTGCTGCAAGCCTATGCTGTGTTATAGAAAGGCATTTTGTGCCAACTTGCTCAGCCTGTACAGTTTCTGGGCTGACTCCTGTCTCCTCTAAAGACTGCTTTCTGTTTCACAAAACTGTTATGGCTGGACAGACAGCTGAGCCTCCACAGGCTTCCCAAGGAAGCACCAGCGCTGCAGCTGCAGGGAAAGGTCCTCCTTCCTATCTGTGGGCCCTGGACTGGAACAGGCTGAGTGCTTAGTTTATTTAACACATGCTAATAGAAACCTCTTAAGGGCTTATCACTTGGCTAAATGGGACAATTTCTCAAAAACAGCAGAGATCACATCTGTATCATCCAGGCAACATTCCTGGCAAAGTTCAGCTTCCCAATAAAAAGGCAATAGTTCTTCTAGCTTGAACAGAAAAATCTCTTCTTCCCTAACTTCATTTGGATAAATTAACAACCTTGCTGATGTTTTTTGGAAATGTTCAGCATTAGATAGGTATTTACCATGAAAAATGATGCCAAGTGTAAACTATTTGGTCTAAGTTAAAAAAGGTAGGAAACAACATCAAGAAGTAGAAGGACTATGCAGTGTTAAGTATAGTTAATCCTACTGATACTATGGAAAACAGAAATCCTTCCTGTCTTGCAATTCCATCTAATGCCTTGCTGAATTGTACCATTTTCTTGCAGCAACTCTGATGACATTAACCTGCAAGTTTTCAGAAGCTGGCATTTTAAACCAGGAAATTTTTTTTTTTCTCTAGACTTTGGTCACGGTTGCTGACAGGATTTTAAATGGGATGAACCTATGGTTTTATTCAGTACAACAGTTCTTGTGTTGAATGCATTATTTGCAAGACAGTGAATATTAAATTAGGTTTTGCTGACAGTCCTGTTGGCATTTAGTCTTGGAATTTATTAAGGCAATGAAATGTAGTTTGGGTTTAATACCTTACATCACTGTTTATTTTGGTTTATATAGACAGGTTCACACAGGAGAAGTTAAAGGGCACCAACAGAGGTGAGTTGCAAAGCAGGAAGAAGAGCTCTCCCTTTCCTTCCTTTCAACTGAGAAGAATGGAAGTGTACATTTCCAACTTTGCATGCTGAATGGACATACTCTTATCAAAATGAAAAAAAAAAATCTTAATTCAAGATCATGTGAAATTTTGTACTATGCATTCCTGGGAAGTATGACCAGGAAGGGCTGAAAGCTTTGCTCAACCACAGGTTGAGTCACACAGGCATTGCTTTCTTCAGTGACACCAGTCCACAAGACGCACTTTGAACACTCCCTAGCATCCTTACTCAGTCTTTGCCCACAACTCCCTCCAGTTCCACAACTGTTTTCAACAAAACTGTTCATCTGACTCCAGCCTTGCTTTGGAAAAGGAGAGAAGACTCACTCCACTGTAGAGACTATGCCAACTTTCATGCACTGTTTGCTTTACCAAAGCTACAAGCTATGGGAAAGGAGTTTAGTTATTAAGTGCCATCCCATCCCAATGACAGTGCAGATAGCACAGCTCCACACAGTTCCATGTATCTGACATATGTGGTCCAACTGCTGCCAGCATTGACATAAACATTCCTCACTAAGGAGCTTCATAGCTGGGACCATGGCTCCACTGACTGCCAAGCTGCATTGAGAGCAACACCTGTACCTGTGAAATACCCCACAGCTACTCAAGGGCATCAGAGCTATGAAGCACGACTATTTAAAAGTGCTTAAAAATGAAAACACAGCACTTACACTAATGCCAATATTTGCAGTGCTGTCACTCTCAGAGTTTGTCAGGCTCATGTTTTCTAACACACCAGCTGTGTGCCCCCATCTTCTACAGGAGTGAAACCCCCCATAGCCCATTTTCGAAGCTGTAAATGTGTCATTTTTGCCACAGAGGCATTTCACAGATTTCACACAATATTTTGAGTTGGATGGGACCCACAAGGCTCATCAAATCTGACTTTTTAAGTGAGTGGCCCATACAGGGGGTCAAACCATGACCTTGGTAATGTTTTGAACCTTGCCTAAAATGGGCGCCCCATCTCAAGAAACTGCTGTAGGGACTTGCTCCTTTGCTTCATTGAAAATTGAAGGTGGAAGCTGCTGCTAAGCCAGGGCCCAAAAGCACTCTTTGAGGGTTATAAATGCAAGCCCAGCATTTTCTGACACTTTGGAGAGGTGGGGGTATTTTTTTAGAATACCAAAGGAGCGTTTTTCAGTTAACATATAGCCATGTCACAATTACAAAAATGTTCTGCAGTTGCATCGCCATTTTTCCTTGTGCAGTTCTTAATTTTCTTCCACGCCCTTTTTTCTTTTTACATTATTCCTTTAGTTCCCTCTCCTTTGTGCCCCATTTGCTTCCCTTTTCTGCACAACTTCTGTCCACCTCTTCATTTGCTACTCAGCTATTCTGCATCCAGAACACCCATTCCTGACTGTTTTCTTGCACACACAAGTGAAGCAGCCAAGTGAAAATCACAGCATTTCTGATGACAGTACTTCCTTGGTACCAAAAAAAAAAAAATTTAGCCAGAGAATGTCAAATCTTTCAAGACATGAAAACATGAAAAAAAAAAATTGAACACCCAAAAGTCACAGCCAAACATTTGGATTGAACAGTACCACATTTCTCTTTCTTACTTTCTGATGATTGTAATGTAGGAACATTTCACTGTCCATCATGTCTATGGGCAGAAGAACCCAAGTGACTTAAGTCACAAACCTGTCCTAGAGTTTCTTCTCTGAAAACAGATTACTGGACACAGAAACACACACTGTTCCTGCTGGTCAGACAAAATATTACCTGCACTGGAAAACATGAGGCCAAAAAGTTCCTTGTGGTTACCTTTCTGAGTAAAAAAATATATTTTATACTTTAAATTAAGCTCTGATTAACATACATTATAGAAACTGCAAAATGAACATACTCACAAAAAAAAAAAAACCAAAAAAAAAACCCCCACAAGTAAATTAAAGATGTGAGTATATGTTCACGTTTGTATGTGTGTGACACATAAATGAGAATATACAATTCAGGTAGCAAATGCAATTCTTACCTTATTGCACTTGCAGACAAGTGGCCATAAGAACCACTGGCTGACGAACTGCTACGAGAATTATTGAGAATGGTGACCAAGGAATTTGGAGAGGTCCGAATCATGGTCTGAAGGTCAAAGCTGTGGTCAGACAGGGGGGATATGGACAACGTGCGCTTCCGGCTCGGTCTGGCTGACAGCCTCGGGCTGGGGAACCTGGCACCTGGTATGGAAACACAAACAATTATCCACAGGGACTTCACTGGATTTATTTGTTATTAGTGATGGGTAGAGGGAGACACCAGCACACTGTGACAAGCCCGCTCTCTTCATTTGTGATCTACTGGCCACGATTCAGGAAAATTAGGAAGAAAAATCTTTCTTCCTATGGCTTACCTCAGGGGAGCTCTGTTTATTAATGTGCAAGCAAAATGATAAATGGCTAAACAAAAGGAAAAGACTTTTATGAGTTATCCCTCTCATTTCTGGTGATTTATGAATCTGATGGCTTCTTAGACATTCACATCATTAATTCAACCATGAGCAATGAGACAGTGGTTCAGATCTGGGATACCAGCAAGCCCAAACCCACAACACTTTAATACATACAGCCAAACCTATACATGTCAAATAGAGTACAGAAATGAAGAGGCAGTTTTCCCTTTGTTGACTGTAATTCTGCCAGGTGGATATTGGATGCAAAACTAAAAATCAGGACTAAAACAAACACTAAAAGGGTCAGCTCTATCAGCAGAATTCAGATTGACATTCAGAGCATTAAAATGAGAAACAGTAGGCTTTATTTGAATTTGTCCAAGATCCTATGATATTCTTTTGCTGGCTTGTATAGGGGCCTACAACTGCTAAATTTCCTTAAAACTGGAGACTAGACTTTTCAAAGCAGCAAAGTGAAAGCAAACATACAGATACCACTTAAATAAATACACATTACATTTCTAAAATTTATGTCCTGTTCTGAAAAACTCTGCCTCTTCTGATCTATTTTACCATATCATCCCAACTCTCTGCAGTCCTGACAGAAGATATATCACCTTAAATTTATTCCCTTTATTTAATTATTTTCTATCTTGTTTGAAAGTAAGGAGAGAATTAGCTTCCCCACTGCACACTGAGCAATTTCCTTTAACAGTACTGCTGCATCTAGCTTTTTAATCCCCTTAACCTGTAGTAAAGGACTGAATCCTAATGATCATGACAGCCAGGGTCATGCAGGTCTTGGGTTTGATGCCTGCTTTACAGCTACTTCTCCTGGAGTCCCTGACATTCTCTGTAACTTGCTAATAATTCACAGTTGGCCACAAGCATCCAATATAGGTCTGATATTCTTAACATCTTTGTGTCCAGGATCTTTTTTTTGCAGGGTATTTAAGTTTATATGTCTAAAAATAACCAGGAGAAGAGCCCAAATGACTCTAATTAGGCTCATCTCAAGATCAGAGCTAGATAGAATCTATTAGTATGCTTTCTCACACACCTGAGTGAGTTTCCCTTCTTTTGTGCATGCTAGCCAAGATTTTAATACAGTACTAGGGTTGCCATGTTATTGCTGTTGTGGCTGTGTGATCAGACCTCCATTTAGAATCTTACCCTCTTTGGCATCTGGGTAGTACAGAGTTTTGTTCCTTCCTGCTCTGTCTCCAGAAAAAGCCTTAGCTCGTACAGCTCCAGTCTCTCAATAAATATTCAAGGTCTTGATTCATCATTTAAAATTTAGGTATAGCCATTTATTTATTTGTAAAACCTACTACATGCTATTTTTTGAAATCTGTTTTATCTCCTTTTTAGGAGCTTGCTATTGTACTGTGTCTGATATTTTATCAGTGCTGTGCATCATGTCTTTCAAAGGCAGAGATCTTTTACTTGTGCTAAAGTAAGAAACAACAATGATCACCATCTATAAGAAACTACAATATATCTAACAAGGAAATACAACATACATATCATGGTAAAACAAAAATAGTAGTAATTTGCACTTGCATCTTTAATACACAGTTTTTCTCTGCTGACTGTTCAGCTGGAATGAATTAAAACAATGCCTCTGAAGTTAGTGCTTGTAATGTAATTTACCCCAGATGAGGATACAATTCAAGTGCTTTATCATGGTTTTACAAGGGCATAGCTAAGTACAGACATTATACTCCCTGCAGTGCCCTGCACATTCTCAAAAACTGCTGTGACTTCCCTCCTCCTCACCCTTTCTGGACTGAACCAGTCTCCTCTCCCCCTTGTCTGAGTCATGCTATGGCTCTTGCATGTCTGCCCACTGCTTGCTACACCCTCGCCTTGCCTGCCAGCTGCTGCCAGGGCATCCCTGTCTCCACTCTGGATGCACCAGATTTGTGGCCAGGGATGGAGAAGGACACTCCTTACAGCTTCCAGGGGCAGCACCAGGGCTCAAGCCACACACACAGCAGTCTCAGGCTTCCTCTATTCCTGCAGGCAGCACCTCTTTCAGGCCCCATCTAGCTCTGGGAATTCAGCAGCCCCCTCCATCTACCTGGGACAGGAACAATCTCCTAAGGGAGATTTTGCAGGATCCTGCAGAAAGGGAACATTTCTGCTTCAGCCAGGCAAGAGTTCTACGAAGTCTGGCCACAGGAGACAGGAATTCAATTCAAGGGGGGCCACGACTTCTAAAACTGAAACTATAATTGAATGGAATTACTGGTTTGCCCTATCTTTGTGGTTTAATTAGGTCTCACACACCTAAAAAGTCTTAAGCATGAGCTGGCCACTCATTCCACACATTTGTTTAACAATTCATTTAGCATAACATGAATTTGTTAGTATGCTACTATAAAAAGGAATAGGTCATAATTTGTCAGTGTCTCTGAATACTAAACCAAACTTTCCAGCCTAGCCTAGCTTTTATCTTAAAAACAAACACTTCAATATTTATTTAGCAATTTGAGATGTTCATCTGCTCACAGTGCTCTCCCATCAAAGTATTACATTCCCTATTCAACAATGCTTTAAAATCAGAAAATGAAGGAGCACTGATTCACTAAAAATCCATTTACCTCTGTGGAAATGCTGATAGAAAAACATCAGCTTTGGCAAAGCACACAAATGGAAGCTGACAGTGAAGATTTGCTTACAAATGTCACCCTTTTGGAGTAGACATTATAGAAATAAAAAATCAGTTGTAGACAGTAAAGACTCGAGTGTGCCAACAAAAAATCCAGCAGGTGTCAGAAGAAAAGATCTTATTCTGAGGTGGAGATCAATTCTAAAATAACAGATATCTATCTTCATCATAAATTTCAAGAATGGAATATGCCATCCAGCAAATTTGCCCATGAATTTGATTTCTGAGTTGAAGTTTTTAGCATTGCTTAATCATTTATAAGGCAATCTTCAGACATGTATCATTTATTCCATCCCTTTAAATCAAACTTCATCAAACCTTTTTTATTCCTTTCCTTCCCTTTAAATCAAACTTCTTGGAACATGTCTCAGGCACTAGTTTTTATTGAAGGCTGTGAACATGGGACATTTAGGGGGGGTGGGTTTAAAGTCAAATCTTTTCTTTCTTTCTTTCTTTCTTTTTTTCTTTCTTTCTTTCTTTCTTTCTTTCTTTCTTTCTTTCTTTCTTTCTTTCTTTCTTTCTTTCTTTCTTTCTTTCTTTCCTTCCTTCCTTCCTTCCTTCCTTCCTTCCTCTCTTTCTTTTCCTTCTGCCTTCTGTTTACAGACATGTAAAAACTTTGTTTTCACTTTCATAAAGTTTATAATTAATTTTGTCTTAGTTTTCAAAATGATAAATCTGTCATCAGGATGAGAGAAGAAGGAATGACTTTGATACAACACCCTCATTCTCCAACTGTGCTTTGACAAAGAGAAACCAAATCTAGTCCAAAGCTTCTCACTCTGGCTTAACTCTCCGGGCTGGTGTTTTGGTCTGGCTGAGATGATGTTCATTTTTTCCCACTGCAGCCCTCACAGTGTTGTGCAGTGGTAGCTGCAAAGAAGTTTTGGCTGCTGCTGAGCAGCGCTGGCACAGCCCTGTCTGCCAACACTCTCCCCATGAGCAGGCTGGAAGTGGGCAAGATCCTGGGAGGGGACGCAAGCAGGCCTGCTGACCCAAACTGGCCAAAGGGATATTCCACACCATGTGATGTCAGATCAGACACAAAGGCTAAGAAAAGGAGGGGCTGAGGGAGCATTCATTAATTACAATGTTTGCCTTCCAGAGCAACCCCTCCATGGGCTGCAGCCCTGCTTCCCAGGAAGTGGATGGACATTGCTTGCTGGTGGGAAGTAGAGAATAAAAATTTTTGTTTTCTCTTTGCTTCTGCACATGCAATCTTTTGCTTTTGCCTGAGTAAACTGCCTCATCTCAACCTACGTGTTGTTTTCCATCTATTTTTCTCTCCCACATCCAGCTGAGAAGAGGGACTGATAGAGCAGTTTGGGGGGCATCTGGCATCCAGCCAAGGTCAATGCACCACAGCTCTTTAGGTCAGCTGGGTCAGAGTCTCTAATGCCAAAACGAGTAGGTCATTATAAATATAAAATACCATTAAAAAAGAGAAACCTCCTATTCTGAGTGAGGATAGACAAAAGTAAATCTGAGAGAGGATATTATTAATTTGGAATCTCGAAACTTCAGGGAACATGCTTGTGTTCCACTGTACTTCATTTAGGAGAGTAGAACATACTCCCCAAGTGAAAAATGCACATATCGACCTAAATTAAAGTTGTTATAGTGCTTAAAGACAGTTTTGCCATTCAACATCTTTACAGCCACAATTTCAGTTGCTGCTACTGTGGTGATGTCAGTAACTTCCACATCTACTACGCCTCTTTTTTGATGCTACAGTTAAAGGTAACAGATAAATCTGACTTTTTTAGAACAAGCGAGAAGATGGCAAGGCTTGCTCAGGGTCTCTGGCAACCAAAACTGAAGGAAAGCTTTATAGCAGCAGGAAAATTTGGTCCAGTTTTCATGCCACTCAGGACATGAGGAAGAAGAATTACAATGAAGCAAGCATAATCTTGGTTTTATTCTTCTGCAATGTATTAGACTGCTCATGGACAGTGAATTTCAGAGCTTCAAGAAGTCTACTGCTCCTTGGATTAACAATTCTCCGAGTGTTATAATTCCCATCTGAAATCAGTGTTCCAGCATCACACAGAGCAAAATGGAAGACCCTAAACTGCACATACTGTATGTAACACACTTTGGAAGTCAGCGTGTGCTGGTGTTGGAATTGTTATTTGCACTACAGGAGGGGGTAGAGATTCCAAATTTCTGTGCTAGATGCTGTATAAGCCCACAATTAGGAGACAGACTTGCTTCACAAAAGAAGAACAATGTCTTGCTTGTATCTATTTGGTTGCTGTGTGGGATAAATGAGCAGCAGCCTTTCAGTCAGTTGAGTCAACTTGCTCAGAATTTGATAGCAGATAATGAGGGAAACTACTCATGTGTCTTCTTCTCCCTTTGACAAGACTGGGCAAAGGCAAAAGACTACTTTTAAGATCACCACACAAATCTTTAAGAAAAAAGATCCAAACAAATGGCACTGCTTCCCATTGATCACTATACTTTGTTATTAAATGCATACACGGGCACTCTTATTGGGGATTTTTATGAAGTCTTAATATCAGCTTCCTGCTAATTGTTTTGTTCTTGTTTCTAATCTAAAAATCTGACAAAGAAGAAAGGGGTTTTCTTTAGCATGATGAATGACAGGACATTCAGATTCCTACTTAATGACAATTAATTTACTGTATACCCATGCAAGTTAAGATAGTTTTAATTAGTTTTTACAAAGTAAAAGGGTAACTTCATACTCTATTTAGATAAAAGCAGCTATTGCCTGACTAAACACATTCTCATCAAATACAGAAGGTGAGCTGAGTGACCTTACTAGGATTCACTCTTATTTTAATTCTCTATTTACTGTTTAAAAATAACCCATTTGCATAATAGTGCAGTTTTTGTCTCTAACTCTGAAAAAATGCCTAATTGAAAAGTTGCTAGTATAATTAATCTCAAATGTGTGATCTTAATTTTTAAAAACAAACACAAAACAAATTAAAGGGTGCATTTCAAATGTATTTTAGTCAGAGCTGGTGAACATAAATATCCTTATTAAAGATGGTGTTTAGGCACCTTTATTAATGGGATGAAATTATGGGCAAAGGTCAAAACATTTCCTGTTAAGTAAGAAGTGGAAACATTCTTGGGATGCAAAATATGGAATTCTATGCAGATCACAACATATACAATCTCTACTAACACATGAAGATCCTTCTACAAATGCCATTATTTGTATGAGTACTGCAAAGTCTTCTGGTTTTCTCAAGTTTTCTGGTGTATATATGGGTATCTACCTTTCTAAAGGCTGAATAAACCCATTAGATCAAATCTGCATCCAAGAATGTGGTTTGGTACTGCTACTTACGTGCATTCAGACACATTCTCTCACAGTAGGAACCAAACTCCTTGAAAATTTAAAATATCCTTGCTCATTGCAAGTGAAGTTTGAGTAGATGACCTTTAAAGTTCCCTTGCAACCCAAACTATTCTAGGATTCCATGATCCTTTTCAAGGAAGATGTGCCCATTCATGCAAGCTGGGGATTTGTCCTTGCAGCTGGAATGCAGCAGCAAATTTACATCACCTGAAGCACGTGTAACAGCATTTCCATTCTGCAAGCTATTATCAACAGGCATTCAGTGTTTAGCAGTGTGCCTCATCTTTCCCTATCTCTCTCAGAATCCAAATCAGAAAGTATCGTATTCTTAAGCTTTCAAGTACCAAGTCTGCACATTAATTTCTGGTTTAAGTCCAGAATACTTTTGTGAGTTTGTGTTTCTGCAGCGTGCTCAAGGTATGTTACTGTGAATTCTTTATGCATGTTACTGGTACCGTGAGACTGATAATAGAAAATTAATTTTAAAAATCCTTCATTAGCAAGGAAACAGAATGAAAAAAATATTTCCTGCATAGTTTCACAACTATCTGTCTTGCCTAACTCTTATAAAAATTATTGGTCAGTCAATACTTCACACTCCAAAGCATGTGTTCTGCAGGGCTAGCTATATATATTCCTATATTCCTGTGCCTTCCAGAGGGAAACCTGCCAACACCCACGCTCCTTGAGATCACCAACCATGGTGTGCAGCCAACAGCAGGAAGAAGAAATCACATGCAAACAAAAAGTTTAAAATTCTACAGGAAAATAAGGTTGCCTAACATTATTGTATTGGTCTGTACTACCAAGCAAATGTCAACACCACCACCTTTTCTTGCCACCATTTTTTATTGCCCTCATCAGAAGGACAGAGTACATCCTGAAAAGCATGTAAGCATCTATGACTTGAGGGGAATGCTCTGCATAATCCCTTTTGGTTGATCAAAAGAAGCAGAAGCAAGCAGTTTGCAATGGGGTCCTCTCTTTTCCTCCTTCAACAGAGAAACAGAGACAGATTAGAGGACTGAAAAATACTGAGTGGATAAAGAAGGCTCTTAATATTATGGAAATGTTATGGAAAACTAAGTTGAGATCCTTAAGAATTCAGCAAACTGCTTCACTTTACAAGTGGTCACTGGTCTATTGGTCTGTGATACATAACTTTTAAGTGCAGCTGGCACTCTCTGAAAGGTGCAGGGCACGCTCTCCTAACAGAAAAACAGATGTAAACCTTCTGTTAACAGAGAGCTCATCAGGGAAATACTCAGCCCAACTATGAAAGTGACTTACTGATTGCAAATAGAAAAGGACATTTTCAAAAGCACTCAAGCCCTGCTAGAAATAAAATTTATAACCTGTTTTCAGGAGCAGTCCTGCTCCTCTCCCTACTTTCTTCCAAAGTTTACTTTTAGGCTTGACATAACCCTTGTGCCTTTGGCAATCAATTCTCTGGCGCTCCAGCCACATGAGGAGGCTTGTGTCGACTCCCACTTCTCTATAAGCACGGAGGCCTTTTGGGTCAGGCTATGAACAGCCCACGTGGCTCCCTTTGCAGGACCGTCTATATGTCTAGAAAATACCACTCACTGTCCATGGCATGCAGATATTCCATATGCAGAGCCCCGGCTCCCGCGGTGGCAGCTGAAGGAATGATGTCTGCGTACGGGCTGCGCTGGCCTGCCAACAGAGCCATCTGATGATAATATTCAGCTGGGCTGACGCCAGCGTGCGGAGCTAAAAAAAACAACATAAAAGTACCGTTAATGACGTAAGATAAACAAGAAGGAAAGTCTTATCACATTGCCGGTTTCTCTGGCCATTAAAACAGCTTGTTTATTTTTTAATGTAATGCAATGTCTGCACTATGACACCACTGGTCAATATATTTCAAGCAATGGTACTGTAAAGACACCATTCAAAAAAACAGCAAGGCCTGAAATATTAATGAGCTTGGTGATCTCATATTTTTGTATTTATTATTAAGTGATCAAAAAGTGACAGGCTGACAGCAATGGAAACTAGTGTGATTTATTTAGTGACATAAAAAAGCAGGAAAACCTTCCTAGCATTTTATTCACATTTACCTCATCCCTGGCTCAAAGGAATCTGTCTCTAAGGTAACAGGGCGGCTGAACTTCCATAAGCATTCAGGCATCTGGAGTCTCTGCTGAGGGGACTAGAAGATTCTCCCTCACCATGTCCCTCTGTATCTACGTTTAGGAGCAAACAGGGATAAAGCATGATTCCAGGACAAATAATAGCTGTCCATGAACAACACAGGGTCAGTTTTTTAGGAGGACAGACTGAAGTCAATAAATGTGACCATCCCATCCTTCAAAGTTCATGTATAAATATACTTGACACACAAGCCTATCTGCAGGGTGAAAACCACAGACTGATTAGACTCTACATCCCATCAGCGAGGTTATTGTGATGCAGTCCTCTGATAATGACTTGTATTAGCTGTTCTCTCATTTAAAAATAACATGAAAGTTTCCTGTTCCCCTCCAATTTTCAAGCAGGTTGTCAACTAATGGGAAACCCTGGACAAATACAAAAATTTGACATCACTTTAAGATCATCTCCTCTCAGCAGGCTTCAGGTGCTACTGAAGGTAGAGGGTCATTTCATGAGCCTGTGTAAGATGTACTCATAAAATAAGCTGGACTACCTCTCCTTGACCCTGACCCTGACCTGCCATGAAACTTGAGGTTAACCAGAGTCCTCTCTGGTGTCTCCCTGTCCCACTTGCAAAACAGTTTACAGTCTGGTCACCACAAGATGGTATGCAAGCTTGCCTAAAACACTTAGGGTTCCTTAGGTTAATGGGCTGCATCCCAAGCTGGTAGACCAGATTATTTTTATACTCTTTCATATCATTCAATGGGATTTTTCTTTCATCTCAGCAGCTGAATCTTGAATGAAAACAAAATGTTGGGCTGAAATTCTCTGAATATTGTTACCTACACAAAGCCAAAGATAATTTATATTTTCATTAGAAAAGTCAGATCCTAAAGGCAAACCTTATAAACAAAGAATCAAGATTTACACTTTTAATGTTCTTCTGCACATAAACAAGGCATTGAAATTTGGAGAAAAGTTAATTCAGCAACAGATTGCTGAAGTGTATAGTCTGCCTTTATTACTATCAAATAAAATGAAAAAATGCGCTTTTGATGTTAAAATATTAAATATAACATATAAGAAAGGGTGATGAAAAATAGATGTATGTCAAACATACATCTAGGCATGGCATAAAAATGAGCTGAAATAGAATAAAAGTTGTTGGTTTTTTTTCCACATTACAAAAGTTGTTGGTATTTTTTCCAAGTTAGGAATTGATTTCACAATTAATTACAATCTTTCCACTTACTGTGAAATGGTAAAGAAATTATTCAGACCAAATTTTAAGAGATGTATAACTCACACTGAATCACTGATTTTAAAGTTTTACAGTAGTAGGCAACCATGGTATATTTCCAGACAGACTGAAAATACTTCCTGAGCTTTCTGACATAAGTGTCTGGGTTAACTAACAGTAACATTGGCTGCAAACTTTAAAATTAACTGCAGCAAAAAACGTAGTGAACACATAATTACTAAATGTTCCATATGCCAAGAAATGTTCTGGTGCTCTTAAAAGATTATTCTTTACTACCTCCCTCAAACATGAAAAATTAGCCTAGTGAATGATGCATTGCATCAAGGGCAAACGAAGGGTAAATGGGAAGACGTGCAGCCCTGAACTTTTTCCTGTTTATTCCTGGGTAGCTTCAGCTTTGTTCCCGTTTTTCTATAAGTGGGGGCATTTGCTCCCGCACAGTAGGCACAGCTGAGCTCCAATTGAGCACTTTCCTCTACACAGACCAACTCCATCCTTACCCCTGCTCCAAATCCTCTGAGAAGTCCTCAGCTACCCCTGACCCACCAAATCTGCTGGCTAAGGACAAGTGACAAGAGTTATGTTCCAGATTGTTCTGGCTCCTGGCCATCCTCAGATCTGTGAGCTGACAGACTGAGCCCAATAGTACATTTGATCTAATTATCTAACTGTCCTAATGCAATTAGGCAGCAACAGAAATCTCACTATGGCTTTCAGAAGAGCAATAATAACTTCCAAGGTGTCATAGTTCAAATGTTACATCCCTTAAGCCATGGCATCCTTTATGTTATTACTACATTATGTGCATGTACCCCTTTAAACCACAGGAGTGTTTCATTTGCATTCTAGAAGTGCTCAAGCCATGATTTAGATTCTCTGATCCCAGGAACTCACATCTGAAAAAAGGCATTTTATTGTATACCTGATTGATCATACAACAGACTATGGATTCCAGGGAACAAACCTGCAGCTTTTCAACAGCATGCTGTTTGATTGAGATATCTTCAATGCCTCAATCAAGTTATTGTATTTTCATTGGATGCTGCCAACACCAGGGCTGTGGCAACTGATCAAAGATGAGCTGTGAGCCTACAGGAAGTTTAGTAACATGTATTTGTTTAAAACCTGAAGAGAGATGCTTAAGCTAGTCAATTTAGCATGTACTTATGGCAGATTAAGGCAGTGTATACAGTCAGCAATCAAAACTCAGGGGATGAGCATTAAGAGAGAGTGTACTCAGCTGTACTGTCCACACCTGAGTGTCTCTGAAAGGCTGGGAATCCAAGCTACATAGGCAGGTGGGAGAAATCTGTCTTTCTGAGGTGGAGTTGAGGCAGGGTTTTTCACAGACCTGAACTGACACCAAACACCTGCACTGTAGACAGATGAACCTTAGCACCATCATAATTATGACAGAGCTCCAGACTCAGCTGCTAACATGCCAAGTGTCCATTTGCTGGGGAACTGAATAGTTCCTTGGGGCTTCACTACCTACAACTCACTGGACTACAATGGCAGAACAACCAGAAAGATTACACATTTCTATACTGTGCGCATCTACATTTAGGTGCCAGAATCTGAAACCAAATTTGACCCTGTGACATTTCTGGGTGTTTCTGGAGCATCAGTTGGGTGCTGGGTGAGAGAAAACCATGTGCCTTCATTTTTGCAAGTGAATCCAGTGTGGTACACCTGAGACCAAGACCGTATACAGCTTAATGTCATAGGTGGTGATAGGTCATTCACACCTTCCTTTATGTGCCACTAGAACATAGCTTAAGCATAGATGAAATTCTGCAGGAATGGGACCTGAAGAGTATTGAAAATAGCAAGGTATTCTGCACATTAGCTCCTGTGAAAAAGCCCAGATGCACACTACAAGAGTTTTCCCAAAATGTGCCATTATTTTATAGCTCTGTCATTTTTGTCCTGTATCTAAAGCTCCAAAGCTCCTCAAGTTAAAACTTGCCTTTCTGACAATTCAATTTTTTTTCTTAAAAGTGTTTTTTTTTAAATACTTCTGCTAAAACAAAAAGGGTAGAATCAGGAAGAATTCATGCAACATCCAAAGTGCTGCTAAGAAAGCCCTATGTGCATGCCATATACCTTGACTGACAATAGGTCATTAAAACCTATTCTCATAAGAATATGTGCCCATAACTAATGGATTAACTGTAAAGGTATATATTCTTATAAACGAGGATTAATTAGTTATCCGTTTGGATAGGGTGCACTGCTCATTTTTCAAATTCAGCTAAAGGCAGTTTAACTCTGGTAAGTTTCTGAATTCACTGGGAAGATCTTTCCCATAGTTAAAGTACCAGTTTAATTACCTTTCTCTACATTGTTGATTCTGAGTATGTTATATTTTAGTTCTCTTCAGTAAATGCTACAATTTTGAAATGTCAAACTGCTTATGCTTACCCACTATTGAAAAACCTACCATAACAAGACAGCTTTTTTTTGCAACTCTGTTGATGGCTCACTTTGGCAAAATTCCCACTCAAATGAATAGGACATGCTAGAATAATGACAAGAATGATCACAAGAGTTCACTTGCCTGAAAAGTAAAAGCCGTGGTTATACCAAGATCTAAAGCACTGAATTTCAAGAATACTGTCCACCATTTAGATTAAAAGGGACAATCTTGATCATCAGCCACTTCTACATAAGCATCATTTCATTTGTCCATATTGTTGCCTAGGATAAACTGAAGTAATTCTACAAAACTTTAACAGAACTATTGACTAAATGTAACTAGTCAGCGCATGCTTTATTTGATCGAAAAACACTATTTTAATTAACAAGCCTTTTGTGCCTGAAGAATTCCATGGTTATACACTGGCATGTACTCATAAAGAATCTGATTCAATTCAGTGCAGGTACAATGGATTTTTGGGAGATCAGAATTACACCCCATATCAGCCCCACAAACAAAAGATATCACAAGACATACACCACCGTTCCAGCATAAATTTTGAATGAGGCAGCTTTTTTTTTTTCTTCTCCCTGAAGTTTCAACATTTGTGAGATGTACAAATGAGCCATCATCGGCTGATGAAGTATTGAAACATTTATGACATAATGAATATGTCTGACAAACCTGGTGAAGCTGCTTTGAACAAGGGGGAAAAATGTTGACAAGATTAATATAACTTAAGTTGCTACAATGACAGAAAACAGGAAGCCTGTCTGAACCCACCGTCTGTTGGGCTGAGTCCGCGGGCTGCCGAGATCATGGAGAGGGATGGGCTGCTGTGCAGGGACCTGATGTAGTCCATGTAGGGGTTAATGTATGGGTGAGGGGTGCTGAAGGGAGACTCTGATGTTGCAGCAGGATTTCGGTGCGGGGAAATTCTAAGGAATGGAAGCTCTGAGTATGTTGGGCTACTAGATAAGGCAGAAGGCCTGGAAGAAACAAAAGGAAGAAAAACAAAACCAGCCAGGTTATCTATACAATAAAGAAAAATACTATAAAGGTAAAACACTTGTTTCTTGAAGAATAACAACTGGGTTGCACATGTACTGAAGTCAACTGCCTGGAAAGAAAAAGGTTGGGAAATTAATTCTTCTCTGTTCCCATTATTAGCAACATTTCTCTGACCAGTTTTAACATGACTTTGTATTTGGCTTAATCTTTACACACCTCAATACCTTTCCCCAAGGAGTTAAGGAGAAAATCGCTTCAATTAGTGCAAAATATGCACACTGTATTACACAGTAATTCTTACTGCAATATGAAATACATACTGAGATTCAGAATCATTTACATCTTCAAAACCAGGTGCCTATTGAAAAAGGAGCTTTGAAAGCCACACCTGCAACCATGCCCTTCATTTGACAGTTTACTCTTTCTTAAAGTGCAAGATGGCATGTTTATACAGAAATCACTTCAGGAGTCCCAAACTTTGCAAGCTATTAAAACAGATGGGTTCTTTGGAGCATTTTAATTTTGTTGTTGCTGTCCCTTCCCATGAAAAATGCACAGAACTTGGCGGCGGAGTAAGAAAGATTGCTGCATATGTGTGTTTTTAGTGTGGCCCCAGTGACCAATGTTTTTTATCAAGACCCCATTAATTAACTGCATCATTTTTGTGAAGGGAAAGCTTAGTGCCCTCTCATGCTATGTGCGATGAACCAAGGCTTAAAGCTGACAGAAGACAAATAACCTGCCATAACCTCCCCATCATCCCACCCTGTCGATAGGACAGTGTCTGGGCTCTGCTTGGTGACTTTTCTCTCACAGCATCCCATCTCCAAAGGCACTGGAAAAAGTTCAAATTTCATCACAAGGGGCGGGAGTGCCTGCCCTTGCCAACCTGCTCTTTGGCAAAAGACAATGATTAAGCCTGTCATGCATTTGCTGAAGTCCAACTGGCTGACCCGAACTAAATGCCTTTTTGTCCCTGTTTTTCCAATTAATTTAGCATATATACAGCACAGACACAGGCAGCAGCTGTGAGAGCAGTGAGGGCAGCCTGTTCCTTTGATCCTGTTGGCTTACAAAGAGTAATCAAACAAGAAATGTATTTTTTTCCCTTTAACATACACATATCATGATCAATGGAAGTAGTTGTCATCACCTAAAAGGCCAACAGAACATAATCTTACATAGGAGCCAATTCTGCCCTGCCATCAGCTTGGAAACGCAAGCATATGAGTGGGACAGTGATCAAAGTCATGAATTCCTAACATGACGCCAGCTTCCCTGCCACTAAATCCATGAGGGCTTGTAAAATCTCAGGAATGAAGATTTCTCCTGATGTGTTTGTTTTTCTCCCTCTTTTCCCTTTCCTATCTGACCTTTTTTGTGTTTCTTGCCCTTCAATAGCTTTCTGCAAGGTAAGCCTGTTCAGCCTTCCTGTATGAAAATACCTCCTAGCTCCAAAGTTTGTTAGGGAGCTGCATTTTGTGCTAGCAGCAGGTACCAACAGGGCAGTCTGGCACCTGAGCAAATGACCCACATAAAGTTAAACCACTCGCTATCATGCTTTCAGCATATTTGAAATGCACTGAGAACCGGAAACCAGAAGCTACTTTCCACCACTGTGCAAACCAGACATCTCCTTTCCTCAGAGAACTTTTTGTCTGCATGGTTCTAAAGTAAAACTTTGTTTCACAGTGGAAGTGCATCTTTTACCTTGGTACTATGAAAACACACCAGATGTGAAATATTCGTTGTCTCCTGATTCCCTGTGACGCCAAGATTGGTTGGCAAGAGCTTTAAAAATCATGGTGATGTAGGAAGCAAAAGTACTACACAGCTGGGTATCAGATTACAGAGTGAATTTCCTATCCTGGCAGTGAGGAAAATACAGTAGTACAGCAAATTTAATACAAGAGTAACAAAGAAACTAAGTCTGGATGTCATTTTACGAGAGATTCTTTTTAAATGTGATCCCAACTCATATTTAGAAACACGAAGTGCATGCAGACAGGCTGGGACCCTGGCCTTATCTGGTGCATATTGAACAGAAAACTCTTTAAATGCTTATGCAAGAAGGCTGAAAGTCTGTATCGGCCTCAGTGATTCACTCTCCAGCTGGCCAACAGCCAGATGCTGCCGCAGGAGCAAGATTAAGAGCCAGGCTGTCAGCTTCTGCCTCCAGATCCTGCAAGAGCCATTCAAGGACACCAGGACTCAGCTGCTCTTCTCCTCCTCAGCCCTGCCTCTTTCTCTCTCTCCTCTTCTGAGCTCCTCCGTTTTCCTAGGATGCTAGGGAAAGGACACTGACCTGGGTAACATCAATCAACAGCAGGCATATAAACAGGCAGAAATAAGGAGTCATCAGATTCCATAAAGAATTCCCAGGTCTGGACTCTGATGTTACCTAATTTCTCTCAAGCATCTGATTTTAACATGCTGCTAACTTCTGTGCTCACTTTCAGTCTGGGCTTCTCTGCCTCCTCTGTGTTCCCAGACTCCCCTTTCCCTACAGACCCATTTTCCCTCATGCCTTCTTCATCTGCTCTCAGGCCTACAATTTGAGTCATCCTGATTTATTGTAATAAACATCACATATCCTTCCTTTCCTTCTGTGATTAAATTTCACTGTGAACATCTTCCACAAGTATTAACTCCATCCTTCAAACTAAAATGCAGCTTTTAGAAAGGGTGCTGCCAAACACCCTTACTGCTGCTTTGCAACCTCATTGTTGGAATAACCTCCGTCCTGTAAACAGCAAAAAGTACAGCCCATACAGCCCAGGAGTGGCTCTGCAGATTCTCATTCAGTGACAAACAAATCAAATCTCCGGATGTGCGTGGCAGTCCATCCCCACGATTTTTGTTTCACATGTAGAGAATAATAGAACGGTTTGGATTGGAAGGTACCTTTACAGGTCATCTAGTCCATGCAGTCATGAGCAGGGAAAGAAGCTGGGACTCTCCTTCAAACTCAGGACCCTTCAGCCCAGCATCCTGCAACCTAGCCATGCATCCTGTTGAATGGTGTTCTATCTTGGGTCTGAGGCTACTTCATGGGATGCAATGAGGCCTCAGCATGAGAAGAGGCAAGGAGATTTTCAGTGATACTGCTTGGCAATTTATGCCTCACCTGTAAACCATGGGAAGGCAGAACTTGCCCTGCATCTTCTCCAGTGCAGGGGTTCCTCTGTTATATAACATATTCAGACCACTTAAGGGAGGGAGCAAAGCAGATGTATGCTCTTTTCTGAATCAGGATCTCTGTGTCTACTTCTAGAGACCCTGCAAACTCAATTCAAATTTCATACAAAGCTGATCACACTTTCAAGACATAGTTGAAGGTCCCCAGGTGTGCAAGTAAAAAAGATCCTGTGGCTGTGTTTCACCACTAATTTTTATCCTGGTACATTAGGATGATTTTATTATTTTCTCAGTAACCTTGATTATATCTACAACCCTGAGGTAAATGAGAAGGAACAGAGAACAGGGCTAGCTGTGAAGGCATCTCCCCCTTCCTGTCTAGAAGGTCTTCCTGTTCACTGCTAAGGTGCTGAAATATCATGAGTGCCACACAGCTTCCATATGTAACACAGGACTTCCCACTCCCCACCCACACCCAGTTTCTTCCTGTCCCAGCTCCGATGCTCTGGGGAATCTCAGCCGCTCAGCTCATGAATGGCACACACGTGCCGAGGCAGGGAGATCAGTGTAAGGACAAACAGGTGTATTTTTGCCTATTAGTCATGACACTTCCTTGATGAATTGTTGCAGAGGTGTCTGCACACTCTTAAAAACTTACATACCAGTTCAGCAGCTGTGAACTGCATCGGCTGTAGGGCAAATCACAGTGTGTATGAAGCTGCTTTTTTTAAAAAATGGGGATTTTTTCTGACCACTGCTGAACCACAGGTGAGCTATCTGTAGGATTTCAATTATTACTCATGAAAACTGTCATTTTGTTTTGTTGCTTACAGCTTCAATAGATGAACTTTGTACAAGAAGACTGACTAGCAGTAGGTTTTGATTTTAACCACCACAAAAACTGAATCAAATGCAATTCCCTTTTCAGCCCATACAGCCCTTTTTTAACTGGTGAAGGAAGATCATGGGAATCTGAGAGTTGATGAGGCAAGCATGAGCAAGTTATACATATTTCAAAATGATCTGCATGCACAGATCATTACCTAGTATTATCTTGAAAAGATCACACATTCCTTCCACCAGCAAAAAAATCTGAGATACGGGGACTCCTATTACATACTTCAGTCTGTTTTCCGTACTTAAACATTTGTCAATTTTACAAAGAGGAAGACTGGATTGCCCAAATTCAAATCCTATCCCTTTCTTTGGTACTAATGGAACAGCTAACTTGAGGTGAAGTGTTGCTGCCTGGCTATGACTAGAGGTGAAAGTTCCTGGGTAGCTAAGCCAGCACAGAGCTTGCTGACTGTGGGTCCTTTCAACCACCCTCTCAATGCTCAACTAATGGGATTAGAGGATCATCCCAAAGTCCATGAAACTATCTTATGTGGATTCATGCATGTAACTGAGATAGGAATTGAGGAGGGGGGATGGAAAGAAAAGAGACCCAGTTCAGAGTGCTGGGGGGTAGCAAAGTCCAGCTGCTCCCTAAGAAAAGGCAAGCCAGGAGCCACCCATGGGCAATGCACTCCATGCCACCAGAGCTGAGTGACCAGAGTCAATCAAGAGCCTGAGACAAGGCAAAGTGACAAACCAGGTCTGGGTTGGGTCAGTCAGGAGCACGAGACAGGGACAAGGACAGGTCAGGAGACAAGCTACACCATGGTTCTGAGGGCTCTATCCAGAACAGCTCCCTGCAGTGCAGACCCTGAGCTCAGCCAGGAGCAGGACCACAAACTGGCACTACTCACAACACAGGTCAGGCAGCTCAGCTAAAAAGGAATTCCTGGATGCAAGAGGTGCTGGCAGAGGTCTCCAGTGAGGCCACTCAGGACAATTA